ATATATATAATAACTAAGAAGCACAGGAGAAAGAGCAAAAATTAATGCATTTGGTTAATTCCAGTAACATGCCAAAAGCATTCCTTTCTGGCCTTATCTGGCACATACTATGTGTCTACATATGTTAACTTGCTAAATATCAACGATCTTAGTCCAGAGTCAAAGACTCAGCCTTTAACCTGTGTGAAAGGCCCAGAAACTTGTGTGGATGTTGCTTTGACACATACCCCCCACCTAAACATTGTGCAGATCAAGCACATCCTCTAATTGCAAAGGCACCAGTCGACAGTACCAGTATGCAGGCTTTTCCAGCAGCAACGTATCCTGCCCCATGGCAAAAAGTGCTCCGTGATGATTTAAGGAACACAACAAAGTGCCAAAGGACTTTACCCAGCTCCCAAGCTCACCGGATCCAATCAAGCATCCATGGGAGAAAATCTGATTCATGGAGGCCACACCCTACAACACACAAGGCCAACATGATCGGCTGCCAATGTCCTGGTCAGTCACGCCAGGACACCCCCAGGGATGTCATACCTCGGCAGGTCAGAGCTCACAAATCTAATCAAAATCCCCTAAATTCACATTTCACAAATTATTACCAACATACTCTCAAAAATACACAGGTTACTGCATAGCTACCACAATTTTCAAAATATACATTATATATAATTTGATATAGTTTGTGAATATATACATGTTGAGGTTAACTGGTGATTCTAAATTGTCCGTAGGTGTGAATGTGAGTGTGCTTGGTTGTCTGTCTCTAAGTGTAGCCCTGTGATAGACTCGTTACCTGCCCAGGTGACCCCCCCCGCTATCCTACAGAGGATAAAGTGGTGTATAGATGATGGATGGATGACAATACGATATGAAATGTGACCTAGTAGAAATGTCATGGTTTCTCCCTCCAGCATTTAATCGCCAGTGTTGCTGATAAAATGAAATTTCACTGAGTGACAAATTAGAAACTATTGATGCCTACTGATGCATCAGCTGTGATTTCCTTTCTCTTCCACTACAACGTACTACTACTACTACTACTGCTACTACTA